AACAGCAATCTGCTGCTCCTGCTTGTGCAAAATTTGAGTCGCATCGACTTCGAGGTACGCCCTCAATATACATGAAACGATCCGAACGAATCGTACGAATATTTTTTGTGGCTAAGAGACAAATGTATGTATGTGAAATTATTACTTAATATTTATTAGAACCCCGCGGCATTAGAGTGCTCGCCTAGGATGTAAGAGAAGAGTTCTAGCTTTAAAGCGATGTATATTTAATATTATCCAAATTGTTTTAACGTCTTACATAATAATTTAATAATCAACAGCTTTATTTGGAGCGAATCGTTGACAATTTGTTGAATTTAATCTTTCTGTTCCTAATTAAGGGAAAGAAGGATGTCGCACAGGTCTTCAATAACATTCTGCGGAGGCAGATCGGAACTAGATCGCCCACCGTAGAATACATATGTACCAAACCTGAAATTCTTTTTACACTTATGTCTGGGTGAGCCTCTTTCTCCTTTGTGCGATGTTATGCGGGATAATAAAAATATGTATTATTGGGGATGTGCACCTCGTCTTGCAGTTACGAACATCAAGACATCGCACTCAACTGTGGCACAATGTTGCGAGAATGCGCGAGATACGAAGTTCTGGCCAAGATCATGATCTACTCGGATGACTTTTACAACTTCTTCAGATATGTCGAGGTCTCCACGTTCGATATCGCGTCTGACGCTTTCTCTACGTTTAAAGTACGTCATGCTCTACAATACGAATATAAGAAGCATGTAAAATATTTTTTTTTATTCATTTATAGATATTATTTACGATTAATTTATTAAAAAGACTTAAATATCCGCGAAAGAAGTTGCTATTATTAATTATCTATTTATTAATCGTTACTATTATTAATATCGTTAATATTGAAATTAATGTTGTCCATTATAATCAAGCGACTCATAATTTTGTCCAGGAATTACTTACGAGGCACAAAATACTCAGCGCCGAATTCTTAGAGATACATTATGATAAAGTTTTCTCGCACTATCAGAGGTTACTCAATTCAGAAAACTATGTAACACGACGACAGAGTTTAAAACTGCTGGGCGAGCTATTGCTCGATAGACACAATTTTACAGTAAGTATCTGGTTTTGCACGAGTGTGATATCTTTATAATTTATAAAGCCAAAGAAAGATTCTTTAAATGTATCACCAAGTCAAATTATTTCTGCGTTACGCACGTAAGCGTAAGCGTCACTGAAAATAGCGCCCGAATAATATACTATGTTTCTATTTCATAAATAATATAAACAGCATATTTCTAGAAAAAGAGGATATATTTTGCCGGCATAAGTCCCTCAATTATAAACAATCAATATATAAAATATCCATATACAAAGAAATTGTTAGAAATACAGCAATAATTTATGTGAACAAAAATTTTTAAGATATATGATTTGCACTTATACTATTTTGCCAAAAGTATTGTTAGTAGAATAATTGGTCAAGTTGCTTAATCCATCGATGATTAGAAATACATTGCAACATAATAAAAATTAATAGCGATACAATAGTGGAACATTTTTGATAACTTAATGACTCAAAATCTTAGTGCCCCATTCGTTACATTCGTGCTGTTGGCAAGTGGTAGTAACCCCTACCATTGGAATTGGTTCTCATGTTAAAACTGTTATGTTGCAGGTTATGACACGATATATATCAAATCCAGATAATTTGAAATTAATGATGAACATGCTGAAGGAGAAATCTCGTAATATACAGTTTGAGGCTTTCCACGTCTTCAAGGTACGGCAGCACTCGATATAAATAAATTTGAATCTTTAACTCGCAAGTTCGGGTTACTATTAAATTCCTGTATCTTTGAGATTCTCAATACTTGATCGCATCACAGCACAAGATTCGTCTCTTCTCTTTAAATAATCGTTCCAATAGACGCGTAAGAAACGATCCCATCGAGAAGGAATGTAGGATTAACTGTACGGTCCCTTCCGATTGTGTCCAGGTATTTGTGGCGAATCCCAACAAACCAAAACCCATTCTGGACATATTGCTCCGCAATCAGGAGAAGCTGATCGAGTTCCTGACGCGCTTCCACACGGATCGTTCCGAGGACGAGCAGTTCAACGACGAGAAGGCGTATCTGATTAAGCAGATCAAAGAACTTAAGTCTGTACATGATAATTAAGTCAAGGAAAATACAATTATTGCTACCGCTACGACTAACTACCACTACAATCATTATTACTAGAGTCTACTGCAGCTGTTGCTAATTACGGTTTTATCACTATTATATAGTTATAATTTATCATCATCACTGTCATATTGTCACCATTATTACGATCATCATCATTACCATTGTCATCATCATCCCGGCATTATTATTATTATTATTATTATTATTAATTTTATTTGTGAGTAAATAATTCACTGTAAATAAAAATTACATTTATATCTTATTGTACTATACGCAGATCGAGTTGTCATCGTTGCCAGCGTTCTGCCACGTTTTTAGGAATGAGTCGGTTATTAAAGCAGAATGAAAACCTTTATTGTCTTTGATTTTTGCGGCTTTAGTCGCGAAATTGTCAGCTCTTCATTTTATTTCATCGTATTTAAGAACTTTTGCAGTTAGGTATTATAAAGAAATGGACATTTTTTCCAAGCATTTATTTCTATAGTTTCTCGTGTTTTTAGATTATCTCTTTAAAAGTTTAGATTTAAAGTTTAACATTCTTATATATTTACGATTTGACTCTAATAAGGATCGGTCAATAATTCAGAATAATATTATACAAACAGAATTTTTTTAATTTAACGAATATATATAAATTTTTTTTACCAACCTTAACATTACGTGCGTGTTATTTTAACAATAGCTGCAACGGCAAAACTTATGTCGGTGAATAAGCGCGGTTTCTGCACGTTATTTCGGTCAGGTTCACAACTGGGATACAATTTCTCCAAGTCCTTTAATTTTTGCAATCTTGCCACTACGGTCTCCTTCAGGACTTTTTGTTGAATATTTTTCATCAGCCAATTTATTTGCGGACACATCGCTAAAGCCTGAAAAACATTGAAGAAAAAATGCATACAAACAGGAAGAAGTTAAAAAATATCTAGGGATGAAAAATTAAGAACAAAAATATTTATAGTACACAAGATGATAATTGCTATAAAAGTTAAAAAAAATTCTTAGCGTTATTTAGCAAGCTGTACCTTCGAGTAATCTTCATCCTGGCTAAGCAGCCATATTAAAGTGGCGCAATGCAGAAATACCTCCTTGTCTTTCAATGACGTGATCAGAAGCTTCACTAACGCCAATGCATACTCTTTCTAATCGACACGAAATATTTTCTTTGTATTGATCATAACATCAGAAGAAAGTAAAATTATTGACTTTTTATAAATCTACCTTGAGAACGTATTTTCTTGTGTAGGAATACTTCGTTAGGGTAATCAGAATGCTGCACGCTCGCAGGCAGACCTTCATCCACGGTAGTGATCTGTTGTTCTGCGCTATCGTATTGTAAATGTCATTGGCCAGATTCAGCTCGCAGAGAATGACGCAAACGGTCGGTGACAATATCGTTATAGTATCTGTGTGTGGTGAGCATAAATTACTTATTATTTGTATCGTAAAAAGAGAACGCCAGAAAATGATCCGTTACTTAAGAAAACAATACAACGTAAGAGAGAGTTATGAAGACAAAATTTTAACTCTTCCTTACGCCTCTTGAAAATATCACTGTCGCTAAGAACAATTAATCATGCAGTATTATTCAAGTGAAAATCATCTACCTAAGCTATTCAAGCAAGTGAGCAGCATCCCGACGCTGTTGCAGCTGCGCAACACGCTGATCATCTCTTGCCAGTAGTCGCTGCCCGGGAGCGCGAGTTTCGTGGTAACGTCCTGATCCCCCGGGATAGCTTCTCCGCATTCGTCTCGGATTTTCGTGGCGATCAAAGCAACCTCGTCTTGTCGCCGGCACCGCTCTTCGCGCTCTATTCTCTTCCGCCTGTAACGGCGCTGTATCGTGATCGCTGCCTGGCGTAGAGACAGATAACGCAGCCTCTCTCGTCTACCAGCAACATAGGCTCGCCAGTAGATCTGAATGATCAACGCAGCATACTTGATAGTCTTGTATCTTCGCGTTGCGATTCTCATTCTGTAATACGACTGAATGACTATCGCGGCCTGGCGCGAAGCGACGAATCGTTTTCTCGCCGTTAAAGCTCTCCAGCGTGTCTGTACGACAACGGCCGCGCGAGTCAGCTGATATTCCCTCCTCGTGGCACGAGCGGCTTTCTTCACACGCCACCTTCTTTGCATCCTCAACACGTAGGTCTTGCACCGTTGGTACTCGTTCCTCGTTCTGACCATTCGCCACCAGGATTGCAGAGTGACGCACGCCCTTTTCTTCGTCAAATATCGCTGACGGTCCACGCGAGCCAGGGCACGCCGACGCCAGTGGGTCTGCACAAGAACGGCGCTCTTGCGGAGCCGCAGGTATCTCCTCCGTTCCTCACGGGCTACCGTAACGTTGCGCCACCAATTCTGTATCCGTATCGTGGCGCATCTCATCTCCAAGTAACGTCGTCGGACAGCCCTCGCTGAATTGGCAC